CAAGTCACTGGATCCTGCAGAAAAAGAAAAGCTTTTATCTCACAGAGCTGAATGAGATAAATCACTGGATTCCAAAGAAAAAGAAAAGCTCAGCAGATTGGTATAAATCAATTGGTTCTGCAGAAAAACAAAATCTTCTGTCTAACAGAGCAATTTGGTTTAAATCACTGGATACTAAACAAAAAAAAAGAGAGCAGAATGGTTTAACTCACTCAATTCTGCACAAAAACAGAAAAGAGCAGAATGGTATAAGTCATTGAATCCTGAAGAAAAAGAAAAACTTTTGCCTGGTAGAGCAGAATGGTATAAAATACTAGATCCTGCAGACAAAGATAAGATTATATCACAAGTCCAAGCTAATAAGGAAGTTCATAAAAACTCAGTTCAACATGATTTAGATCATAAGATCACAGCTTTTTAAAATAAGATTGGAGAAGTTCCATATTATATTTGCTCTGTTTGTAACAGAATACTATACAGAAAACTGTTATCTATTTAAAAAACGGCAAGAACTATTTACTGACATTAAGTCATTTGATGAAAAACAGTACATTTGTAAAACCTTGCACACAAAAGTTTTGAAAGGGCAAGTCCCATGTCAAGCTGTATGTAAAATACAGTTGAAAGAAATGATTCAGACCAAATCATTAAGTTCCTTACTATAAAATAATAGTCATCCATTGGTAGTGACAATCACAGGAAAAAATAAAAAATCCAAGTATTATTGTTAAATTTTTACTGTTAGTTATGTTTAACTAAAAAATGTATTGGAAATGCTTGATTTCAACACCAATATCCAATAAATTGTTGTTTAACTTTTACATACAGTTGAAAGACATGATTCAGACCAAATCATTAAGCTCCTTAGCATAAAATACTTTGTTCACATGAACACAGACAAAAATTGTATGCCATTTGAGAGAAGGACTCAAGCCCTTCTTTATGTACCTCTTAAAAGGGATATTTATCAATACATTTGTGTCATTTCACATAGAGCTTATTTAGGCTTACCTATAGGCTTACCTATTTTAAAAAAGGTTCTCATAGATGATAGAAAAAAGGTCAATCCAAGATCCGGGAATACCTAGAATAACGTGTTTCTGCTTCTTATTCTAGTCAGCAAGAACACTGAGATTAATGTTGAGATATTCCAAGTTGTTTGTAGTACACAAAACCATTTTATAGGCCTCGATTATTTGTGTTTAGTTGTATACCCATGATTTCTTTCTGTCTTGGAATGACCAATCGCCTGTTGCCTGATGACAACCTTTTTTGAAATTGGTGTATGCCCTTGGCCAGACTTGAGCTCACTATTTCAGTATACTAGTCCGACACCCGTAGTATCACCACACTTGATCCCAAGGATCCAGTAACATCCAGGCATCCCAGTTACCCTGCTCACAGAGTCTAGTTTAAATGGCCTTCAGTTGCCTCTTTCTTTTTATTTTAATTCTTTTAAATCCTAATAGAGTAATTACTCAATACTTGAGTAAAGAGGCATTCTATGAAATATTGTACAAACTGCAATTTTGATTTTAGATATATGAACATTCACAAGCTGTAATTTCTTAATAACAGGATATTATGATCTTAAGCCATATTTTGGACTTCGTGAATTTTTTCACGTTATATCATTCATTGATATGAATCCACATTCGTGGGATGGTTATCTTGAAAAAGCAGTTAAACCTGCTTGATTAAGCGAAATGACGTTAAATTCTTCGGATGGCAGTCTCGATTAAAAGCCCGCTAAGCTCCATCAATCTATTGATGATTGTAACGAAGTCTCCAGAAATAAATAGAACATTGATTTACCTCAACGCTATTGCATAAGCTGAGCAAGAAACTTCTCCATATTCCGGAACATTCTAATGAGTTATTTTAAGGATATGTCATCATTAGCGTCTAGAATGTTCTTCCTGCTAAAAATAGTGTTTCAGAAATAAGTATGATGTAATCGGCTACTACAAATAAGGTTCGAGATCGTAAGGTTTTCAGAAGTTTAAGATAAATAGTAAAGTGTTTAAAAAGGAAAACAAGAATCGTCTCCTGGCTTCGTGACAATGATAATAATAATGATAATGATATTGATAATGATATTGATAAAGATAAAGATAAAGATAAAGATAAAGATAAAGATAAAGAAAAAGATAATGATAATGATAATAATGATAAAGATGATAAAGATGATGATAATGATGATAATGATGAAGATAATGATAAAGATAATGATAATGATAATAACAAAGATAAAGATGATGATAAAGACAATGATAAAGATAAGGATAATGATAATGATGATGATAATAATAATGATGATAATAATAATGATAAAGATGATGATAAAGATAATGATAACGATGAAGATAATGATAACGATAAAGATAAAGATAATGATAATAGTAATGACGATGATGATGGTAGCAGTAATAATAATGGCATTTTACAGACCCGCCGTTTTTGTATCTGCAGGGATTGGAGCCTTTGTTCGATGAATGCAGTCTCTTAGCATGACAATCAGTCGCATTTCTTCAGTCATGAACGCCGTTTGTTGTAAAGAGCATTTAAAGAGTGTCATAAGCCAATTCAAACTAATTACAACAACCAATTAGAGCCAGGTAAAATATCACAAAGAGCAAATGCAAACTCAAAATAAAAACCAGCAAACAGACGAAAAAAAAGAGCAATTGAAGCAGGGGGAAAACGCAAGTGACAAAAGTGCTGCTGGTTTAGGTTCTGCATCTGATTGATTGGAAAAGAGGCCGAGTTCTATAGACCAAGGATACGGCGGAGTAAAGCGAAACCAAAGCAATCCAAAAAAATTTTCTACACTTAGTTGAAAATTACCCTATCAGTAATCTAAGAATCATTAAAAATATTATAAAACAGTTTCTCTCTCAACCACAAGAAGTTCCTTGCTTGTTCTTAAAGCGCAGAGAAGCTTGCAAAGTTTATTGGTGACAATGCGCTTCTCTTCCAGCATTGGCTGTGATTCTGTATCTTTCTAAACGGACGGAGTCAGGTGCCGTTTCGGCTTCAGAGACACCCAACGAATAGTCGTTTTTAAATCCCAATTGCCTTCCTGCTATAGACTGCTTTCGAATCATGTAGTTCACCCCAAAAATCAAGAGAGAAGAAAATAATGCCACAGAACCGGCAATGTAAAATGCTTCATCATAGGAACCGAATGCTTCATACAGCCAACCTGAAAACAAAGTGCAAACGTCGGTTTAGTCTCGACCCTTTTCATTTGAACGGCTGTATCGAATCAGTCTTAGCAACAGAAACAAAGATAAAGAACTCGGTTTGCTTTGCATCTAATTAACTGAGAGGGTGGAGCGAATTCTCTAGATCAATTACGGACCCTATAAGAGCAATCCCGGATTACACTCGACATTTGTTTGAAAATTTCACTATCTTTTACACAGCTGATCACCTGCAAGCGGAGGTCCAAGACTCATTGGTATCGCCAGAGTTCCAAACATGTTTCCCACTGCTTGAGAAAGCTTATCGTGTCCGACCACATCAGCCGTAATCACCGCCACTTGGCCCACAAAACAGCCATCAAAAAATCCAAATGTCAGAGCATAACCCACAAGTCCTGCATAGTTTTTGACCAGAGGACACAAGAGAGTGCTCAATCCAATGGAAAATATCGAAAATTGGTACAGGTAGAGTCTGTTGACGAATTTAAGGTCGGAAATCTTGCCAAATACCACTCGACCAAGCGTTGAGGTGATGGATAGAAAACCAATCAGCCAAGCGCCTTTAGATTTTGGTACTCCTAAATCTTCGGCATACTTCACCTGCAGATAATAACGAGACGAATAAAGGTGATAAGATTCTACAAAAAACTCTGCTGCCGCGTCGGTGGAGGGCATTTTAAAATAATTTGGTTCACTCAAGTGGGTTGATAATGAAAACTGTCCACCGAAAAGAGCCTCAAAGGCTGGAGTTTCGAGTGGTGGCCCTTAATTCTTCATAAGGTCTACGCTTTTAACATCAGCTTTAAAAATTATCCACCTAACTTATCTTTAAACGATGATTTTCTTACGAGATCCCGAACGGCAGTCTATAACCTATTTATGCATTTGTCGCTGACCAATCATCAGGGATGAGAAGTTTTGTTGAGTATTAAACAAATACATATACAACTTACCAGGTGAATAAATGGAATGAGATAACTAAATTGAAACACAGCTACAGTAGTGACCCACAAAACATACGCTTTACTCTTCCATATTGAAGTATCAAATAACTTGGTACATTCTCTTCTTTCCCTGGTAGATTGAAGATTTTTCCTTGGTATAAAGATCATAGCTGCAATACATAACAGTCCAGCAAACGCGCTCAAAATGCGCATGGAGCGTTTCCATCCGACTGATGCCAGTAGGTAATTTATGACCGGCCCGGCAACAAGAGAGCCTACCCCACTTCCGGATGTTGCAATCCCATTGGCAAGCGCCAATCTTCTATCAAAGTATTGACCCAGGACAACGATAGACGACACAAAGGAGAAACTAGAACCTACTCCCCATACAAGCCCGTAGGTAACATACATTATATGAACTTTCTGTATGAAGGAAGTTAGGAACAACCCTGAGATCGATAGTAACGCGCCAGCGAAGGACACAACGAGGCATCCAAATCGATCACACAATGCACTTGATATAGGACCAAAAAAGAAGTTTAAACCCATGGCCATGGCGCCAATCCAAGCTATGGAAAGAAATAAAAAGCATAATCTTAATGTATGAAGAAATATGTTATTGTTTTTGTCACGGGCGTGAAGCGGAGGGAATTTTTGTGTTCTCCTACGCTGAATCTTGTTTTGAGAACCTCACGTTGGGTCAATAAAGCCTTAATTGAAAAATTCTGAAACTGGCCAATCCGCTCTCTACCGGCACTGACATTCCGGCATCAGAGTTTTGAAAGAGAGTTTTGGTTCACAAATTCTACAGTTTCAGTATTAGTCAACATGTGACTTTGAAAACTTCTGCCAAACTTGTTGTCAATCCCTGACGCTATGATAATAAACAAATAATGCACGTGCTTGGGTTGTGTATCAAAGGTCTTCAATTAGAGAGTCTTAGTGGGGTTAACCGTCAGCTAAAACTGGCCAAAAAATTTAGCAGTTGTAAGTAAAAGTAGGCAAATTTTAACCGCAATTAGTTAAAAAGTTAGCCTTTCAGATTTGTCTTTTAATCACAAAGGAAGGAAATTAAACGTTAGCCATAAAATGACCAAACCGTTAGCCGTGAGAACCATCACCAACGTACCTACAGCAATTTGTCGCCCTTCTATAATTTATCCATACTTGAGGCGCCACGAGATCATGTAACTCTTTTACCCAAAACAAAACGTGTTTTGTGTTGCATCAGAAAAGAAGAGAAAGTTATCATAAATCAATGTTCTACCGCTCTGATCCAACCGAAAAAGATTCCAAATAAAGTGAGCCAATGTACAGTATTCCAACGTTTCCAAACTTAAGTTAGAGAAAAGTTACTACCTGTAATAGCTGAGCAAGAAGTGAAATAACAAACAACAACTGTTGATCGTGTTTAGAGAGAAGAAAAGATGCTGCCTGTTAATGGCACACCGTGGGGAAGTAAAAACAGACTAGAAATTGGGATGATTTCGAAGCAAATCAGAGATTTTTTAAATTGTAAAGTACCAACTAACGTGTGAAGTGGAAGATCAGAGAAACTTTGCCTGTAATCAGTGATGCAGACAAAATGTGAAATATGTGGTACAGAAGCCACTTTCCGGTTGCTTCGCTAACTGGTAGCTTAACACTAAAAAGATGATGACAAACATCAAAGGAACAGCTTTTTCTCGCTGAAATTGAAATTTGGAAGTAATTACTTGCTCATGTCGCGATCATCGATAGAGGTAAGGATTGAAGTTTTCATGCACGAAGACGTTGATGTATAAGTTCGTTGTTTTGATTGAAGGCAGTAAAGATGTAGGAGAAAGAAAGTTTAAGTGCGCTAATCAGGAGACCAGCCTCTTTTCGAAGCTTTACTCCAAAACTGGTGACGTCATGCTGATATCCACCCTTTTCGGATATAAATTATTGGCGAGAAATTATTATGTGAAAAACGGAAATGAAACTTCAGCTCAAAGGGAAATAGTAAAATTCTTATGTATACTGCGTGAGCCAAGATATCACATTAACTATATAATGTAACTTATATAGAGGATATTACATGGCCGCGCGGGGGATACGAATTTTATGTTCGAGTGCTGAAGTATCTCTCACAAGTGAGCGAAGCGTATCCCTAACCGGCAATGTAGTATTCTGTTTATTTTATAGATACTGATGAAATTCCTACAGAAAAGACAACTTTTTTTTTTTTCGGCCTTAATGTTCAATACGAAGATATTTTCTTCGTTAGCCTCAGATACACCACTGATAATGTCCGTAGCCACAATGCTGTTGGCTTAATCATGGAATGAGATATGTTAGGTAAATAACGTTGATTAACACGATTAATCGGTCGGTAAATAGAAACTCAATAGGACAAAACACAACAAAAGAATTAAAATTCAAAAAGGAGATATAAAGGTAAACTGGCATTCTTGTAACCCCAGTGAGCAGTTTTTTCAAGAAATTTGATTTTACGTAATAGCGTCAGTTTCAGATGGTCGATCGTTTACCGCATAACTAATTACGTCTCGCTATGTGACGTAAGTATCTAACAAATGCAAAAATAA